GTTGGCTGAGTGGTTGGCTGAGTGGTTGGCTGGGTCGTTGGCTGAGTCGTTGGCTGGGTCGTTGGCTGAGTCGTTGGCTGAGTCGTTGGCTGAGTTGTGGTCTTCGAGCGGCTTCGAGCCAGCCCCAGGAATCAGCGAGGAGCCAGGCTCCGGTCCCTTTCCACCTCAGACGAAGCAAGCCAGCTGAAATGTGGAGAAAGTTCTTGTAACTCGCTCCAACTCCCTGGAATGACGAGGCACTGTCTTCTTGGACGAGAAGGTCCTCGAAGGAAAAGGCGTCACTTCCGGTGACCGCACGAACCTCAGGCTTTCGCATCATATCCACTGTGGTAATGAATGAGGACTCTGGGTACTCTCAGTGCCAACTAGACACTTTAGTTTGTCACAAATGTAAGATAAAAGTTACCTAAATGTTAACATTAATCTTAAATTTGAAGAACATCTCTTCTCAAAGTTAAAACTATTTATATCGTTCACATTTTGAAATAATGTTATTGTTTTATGCACTAACATTTCATACTTGCCATAATTCAATAATGCTGTTTATTGTTCACGAACGTGAAAATAAACGTTACCTAATTGTGATTTTAACTGGTTTTGTGTTTTTATTCAAGTGAGGGGGAATCACAACGTTGCCAAGGATTCACTATAATTTTCAATCAAGGTCGGTCCACATTTATTCCATAACTTTTGAACGGTTTGGGAAAAAAGCTGTTAAAAGGTGCGTTGTTGGCTCCGCCTACTTATTCCTCTACACCTCATACATGGAGTCAGAGATGAAGGTCTCGAGCATGATCTGAACACTAATGTGGACCAACACGTAGTCCAGTTCAACTCACCTGGGTCATCTTGTCCTGTTGGCTTTGGGGTTCAGTGGCGCTTCAGTCAGCAGGACTGGAAGTTCTTCAGGAGCAACACGGAGCTCGTTGTAGAAGGTGTGACGCCAGATCTGCATGACAGAACAAAAGTTAAGGAACAAGCAGGATGTAGGACTGAAAGCCCCAGGTGTCTGTCGAGGGGGGGCGGTTCCATACGCGCTCATATGTGGGTGAGAAACTGAGAATTTATTGGCCCATCTGTCACAAGATCACTGACAGTGGCTTCAGTTTCTGTTTAATGTTTTAATCTGTACAAGTTAATGACAGATAAATACTGGTGTTACTTTGGGATCCCTGAGGGAGCAGCACTACACCTCGCGTCTCCTCATTCAGAACGTGAAGACGAGAGCAAAGTGGTTTTTGTCTCCGTCTCCTCTTGTTTAAGGTGAATTTCATATTTACAGCGACGTGAAGCCGACCTGTCTTTGTTACGTTGTGTGTCCTAACCAGGTGATCGTGGGTTTGCTTCAAACCTCAATAACGTATCGTCATTCCCACACTATCGGGCACACCTGAATATCAGCCGCACTCAATAACTTTAAAAAAGAAGTTTATAAACAACGTGTGTCCACGTTGCAACATGTGATATTTGTTTTAACTTTTAATTAAATTCATACTTGTAACATACACAAATGTACACAAAGTAAATGTTTTTTCTGGACAGTGCCTGTTTACAGCTGGTTAAAACACAAAATAAAATACTGGTACAGTAGCCTGCCAGGAAAAGTTATTGCACACTACCTTCATCTTCCTCCTGTGACTAAAACCATTAAAATCATCTTCTTCAGTGTCAGAAGGGACCAGTACTTCATCACATGTTTTTGTTTGTTGTTCTCAACGTTACTTTTGTCTTGAGGCAAATTCGCCCTTGAGCTTGAGCTGTCCTCTTCATCACGCAGCATCCTTTGGAAACCCGTTGGTGATGGTGGATTATTTTACACTGTCAGGATCCACTGGCAGACTTCACGTTGCTCTTTGCATACGACCAGTTTTGATAAACGAGTTCTCGCCGCCAGTCGTCCAAGCCTCCCACTGAGCTGCCACATTAATGCACAATTCACACTTAGGACGAGTGGCTGCAAATACTTCATCGTGCCCCCGGGCACTCTTTACTTTATATATGCTTCCATTAGGTAAAATTATTAAACAACATGGGATACATTTTCATTGTTATGCTGATGATACTCAGTTATATTTGTCCATTAAACCCAATGAATCCAATCAGCTACTTAGACTACAAGCATGTCTTAAAGACATAAAAACCTGGATGACCCTTAATTTTCTCCTGTTGAACAGACAAGACTGAGGTTTTGGTTTTTGGACCTGAGCACCTTAGGAATGAATGTTTCAGTCTTTCTCCCTCCTTAGATGCATTAATCTGTCCTCCAGCTCTAATGTTAAAAATCTTGGTGTTATTTTTGATCAGGACACGTCTTTTATCCCCCACATTAAAAACGCTACTAGAACCTCCTTCTTCCACCTGCGTAATATCACTAACATTAGAAACATCTGATCTAAAGATGATGCAGAAAAACTGGTCCATGCATTTGTCACGTCTAGACTGGACTATTGCAACGGTTTATTATCTGGGTGTTAAATACTTCTTTAAAACGTCTTCAGTTGATCCAAAATGCTGCTGCCAGAGTCTTAACTGGAGTTACTGGGAGAGATCATATCTCTCCAGTTTTAGCTTCTCTCCATTGGCTCCCTGTCAAATCCAGAATAGAATTCAAAATCTTACTTCTAACATACAAAGCTGTCAACAACCTAGCTCCATCTTATATTACAGATCTTATTGTTCCATATTTTACTAACAGAGCACTTCTGAGGACGACAGACTACTAGAAGACAAACTGACCTCATTTCTTTAAATGAATTGTTAAAATTGAATAGTTTTCATTTGATACTATTTCCATCTTAACATGTGATTCTTGACCTGCCATTGTGTATCTATTCCTCTCAAACCCAGCCGGTCGAAGCAGATGGTCCTCTTGTCCTGATCCTGGTTCTGCTAAAGGTTTCTTCCTCATGAGGGAGTTTTTCTTTCCACTGTCGCCTTCATGCTTGTTCAACATGAGAGTTCTGTGATGGAGTTAAACTCAAAGCTGCTCCTCAGATAAATAATGTTCAATTATTATTTTATAGATGAATGTTTCTGATCAATTATTATTTTTATAGATGAATGTTTCTGATCAATTATTATTTTATAGATGAATGTTTCTGATCAATTATTATTTTATAGATGAATGTTTCTGTTCAGTCCCTGAGACGACTTCTGTTGTGACTTGGAGCTTTAGAAATGAACTGAATTGAACTGAACTGAAATAATTACAAGTGTGAGCACGTGTATCAGTATATTTAGTTTGAAGGTTGACTTAGATTAAGAACAGGAAACGTATTCAGACCTGCTGGTTTCTGCAGGAACTCAAGTTTCTGGTGCGTGGGAAGAATTTAGTAGAACGGGTAAATGACGCCACGTAGGCGGCGCAGGTGACTGAACTTCATCAGGTGATAAAGATGTTATTTTTTAATGTTTCTTCATGAAAGCACAGTCAGTGTTGACGACTTCCTGTCAGAATGTGAGTTATGGAGACAAAGAACAGCTGAGACAGTTTGTCACAGCTGGCAGGAGGTTTGGACCAAAACTATAAGAACGACGAGGCAACAAAACAAAAAATCTGAGAACGCATGAGGAAAAACAGCGTGGGCAGAAGAAAACATATTAATATAATAAAAGTCTAGCATCTCTTGAAGGTAAATAAATTAATTTAAAAAATCCCATGGGATTTTTCTGTGTAAATTAATAGTTTGGCCACAGAGTTTAATAAAACGACGCCTGGAGATGAAGCAGAGGTTTATTTACACACAATCACACTTTTTATTGTTTTCAGTCTGAAGAAACTCACAAGTAATGTTAAATCAAGTGGATTTGATTTGTAAAAAACAAAGAAATGTAAATTTGTGTGCATACTTTATGATTGTCTGTTGTTGTTGTTGTTGTTGTCTTCACTCTTGTTAAAATCTTTCCTCTCTTGTAAACGAGTTCCCGCGGCTCAGTGGGATTAAACCGTCTAAAGGAAGCTTGAATGAATCTGTTTCAAGTTTTTGGCTCACTGCACATTTCACAAGAAATTTAACAAACAAGAATTATTTGTTGTTGAAAAGCAGAAACAAAAACTATAAAGTTCAAACAAACAAACAAACAAACAAACAATGTGTTTCTCTGTAATGAACTGAATGAATTTATTCGTTTCTGTTTCACTTCTGAGAAGACGTGAAATATTTCTGTTTGTTTGACGTGTGTATGTGGGAGAGAACACACACACACACACACACACGCACACACACACACACACATGCACACACACCTGTCATCCAGCAGACACACTTCGTCTCTGAACTTTTCTTTGAAGTTTATTTTACTCTTCATTTGACGCATGAAACTTGATTCTTGGAACAAATTTTACAGAAAATGTTTTCATTATTATTTCATAATTCACTGATAGTGCACGTTTTTCCTAACGTGCGCGCACACAGACGCGTGTGGATGATGTTTTTGTGAATCAAAGTGAAAGATTCTCTGTTTTGGGATGAATAAATGTTGAAGAACGCAGAAACAGCACTTCACTCGAACATCTGTCAACACTCGACAGATGTTCCAGCTGAACCAGAAAAATGAGATTTTTGTTTCTCTCTGAAACAACGAAGCAGTTTTCAGATACGACACTAAAGAGCAGGTTTTACAGCCCAGTGGTGGTGCAGAGGTAGAGAGGGTGGGCCTGCGATTGGAAGGTTGTCGGTTCAATTCCCCATAACAACATCAAAATGTGGGTGGGGGAGGTGAAGCACCTACACCTGCCTCCATCCTCATTTGTTCCACTCTGGGCCCTTGAGCAAGGTCTTTAACCGGTGTCTGTGGTTGTGTCAGGAAGAACATCTGGTGTAAAAATAATCACCAAGTCTTCAGGTGAAATTACATGTGTGTGTGTGTGTGGGGGGGGGGGGGGGGGCACTGAGGTCGCTTCATTAGTGACTTGAGTTCAGGAGTGGGATGAAACTCTCAGAACCTGGTGGTTCTGGTCCCCAGGCAGTGGAACATCCGGCCAGATGCCAGTAAAAATATCAAAACGATGAAGAACCCCAGAAGAGCTCATGAAAACCAACGTAAGGTTATGAGAACACAATCATCAGCTCCTGTCGTGGAATCATCTGCTCCCTGGTGCAGCGTCAGTCAGCTTCAGGTCAGTCCGTGGACAAAACAGGAACAGCAGCATCAATGAGGCGGCTGCTGCCACGGCAACAGAGAACTCCACATAAAAACACTGAGCGTAACTGAAATAATACAAGTGCCACACAAAGTCCCAAACATTTTACACACCTGTCATTTTCAACATGTAACATGCTTAGATTTGGTTTCTAGCTTTAAACCTGTCAGCATCTTTGCAGTGCAGACGTCTACCTTTGCAGATGTCTTGTTATCAAGGACACCTCATGGACCACTCCTGTCTCGTAGTCTGGAAAAGAACATCCAGAGAATGAAAGTGTTGCAGAAGCTGAACTTGATTGAGGAACCAGTGAAACTTCAGGCGGTTTGGTTCTTAATCCTCGTCCTCAGAGCCTTGAGACATGGATCCAACGTTCGGTTTCAGTTCAACGACTGAAGATGGCTCCAGGAGAACCTCGTTTCTTTTGAGGTCACGTCACTTTTCACCTGCATATCCACATCAAAGGCACTGGAAACCATCAGGAAATGACTTGAACCAGATACTGACCTCAACAGGAACTGTTTAATCCCAGACCAGACCTGTACCCTGCTGGACCTCCATGTTTCCAACACTTCTCTAAAGTTTAAGTGTGGTTGTGCTGTGGGATCTCCAGGGTCAACAACTGTGGACAATCTCTACATGGAGGAAGTGGACCTCACTGGACTCCAACACCGAGCCACTGGTCGTGATATTACTTGGGTCAAAATCCATGTGAAAGAAGCGTTCAGACAACTGGTCAAGTTCAGACAACTGGTCAAGTTCAGACAGCTGGTCAAGTTCAGACAACTGGTCAAATTCAGACAACTGGTCAAGTTCAGACAACTGGTCAAGTTCAGACAGGATGTCAACATCAAGCTGTCTTTATGGACTGTTTGGTGGACATGGACAGAGATGGAAGCCTCAACACTGAAGTTTACAGGAAACCTACTCACACGGGTCAGAACCTTCTGTTTGACTCTCACCACCCACTGGACCAGTCATCAGAACTTTACATCACTGGACCAGACATGTTCCCAGACAGAAGGAAAATAGAAACAAGTGATATATGTGGACATCTAGACAGGACCTTTGTCAAATCTGAAATCATGAACAGGGAAACAGGGACCTTGTCATCCTGTGATACCAGAGTATCTGGAGGAAAAAAATAAAATATTTTCTCCCATCATCATCCCAGTACATTTCAAACCCAGCAATCCTCAGAGGCTGGTCCATCATGACAGAACATCCATCCTGAGCTGTGAGGAATCTTCCGACCTCCATTTGAGACAAACTTGTGCTCAGAGGTCTACACAGTGAATGCATTCATGTTCTGGGGAACTCAATCACTAGATGGTACTGCTGCCAGTGGTGGAGAAAGTACTCAAACACTGTACTTTAGTAAAAGTACAAATAAACAGACAAAAATGTACTCTAGTAAAAGTACCACATTAACATTTTTACTTAAGTAAAAGTAAATAAGCACTTGCTTTTAAAATACTTAAAGTATTAAAAGTAAAAGTACTTGCTGAATGTATTACATAATGCAATGGTCTACATATCTTTAAGTGTGCGGACTTTATGTATATTTTCTGTAATACATAATGAACGATGCTGCAGATAGTACATTTTATTGTGTTTACTCTGCGACACCGTTCACACCTGGACTTGTGATTCTGTGCAGCAGAATTTCAGGGATGACCTGCAGAGTTAAATGTCATAAAGCAAAATAAGAGGAATTATTTAACCTTTGAAAGTTATTTAACACAAAGCAAAACCAATGTGTCATTTTAACTGCAGTAAATAAAGTAAAAGTTGTCTGCCTGAACAAAAGGAGCATTAGACACAAATATCTGATCATTTCCACTGATTTCAACTCCAGTTTTAGTTAAAATACTGTATTCAACCTTGTAATGGGTCAATATTGATTTTAACTCCGACACCATTTTTAAAACTTTGACCCGAGTGTCGAGACATTTGGAGACATCTCGTCTCCCAACATCATGAACTGACACATTTTATAACAGCAAGAATTTCTTGTTCAAGTTCAGAAAAAGTTGGTTTTCCAAAGATGAGTCCAGTCTGGCTCTTTTGGGAGAGAATCTGTCCCGTTGTACTGAGCAGTCCAACAAGGCCCTGGGTGGTGCACATCTTCTGGCAGACTCTTGCGGTGGAATACATTGCGTGTGTTAGTGGTGCTGCAGGTGCACCCAGCTCCGTGACACACTAGAATACAAGTCATTGGTCCAGCTCTTCTTGAAGTCGGGCCTAACTTCACCTGCACACTTTGCAGTGATTCAATGGACCAGCTCCCCTCTCAATGTTACCTTCAAATCAAAAAGCCGCAACATGAATGCAACTTGTAACGCATCGCATTATAGAAATGCAGTGTAGTAGAAAAGTACAGATACTATGGAGAGTACAATATAAAGTGCCCACATTTAACTCTAAAGTACAGATACATGAAAAATGTAAATACAGTAACAATTTGTATTTTGTTACATCCCACCACCGACTGCAACCCTGCAGGGCAGAAGAGAGTTTATAGAAATTAGACTAGGACTGTGTAATCTGACACAACGTAAAGTTCATCCACCTTCCATTTTCTTAAACCCACAACTAGACTTCTCCACAGACACATGGCAGCTCTTAAAGACTCCACAGACACATGGCAGCTCTTAAAGACTCAAGTCCACCTACACCAAGGGGCATATTGAGGACCAACATGTTTGTTTTGAACAGGACAGATGGTTGAAGCTTTTAGATTAAATGAGAAACTAAATTTAATGCCATCTCAGAAGGATGGAATGAGACTAGTTGTTTAATTCAACAGCACATGGTTAAGTAATGAGACTTGTTTTAACCACATTCTGTTTGAAGAGACATCGACTGGTTTAGTGTTCGACAGGTCAGGGCTTTGACAAACTGAGTAAATGAAACAGGACAACGAGGTGTAAACAAAAGTAATTTTATTCAGGGGTCCAGGGTGTAACAGTGGTTCAATGCTTTAAGTTGCAGTTGGTGTCATGAGCAGAGAAACATTCCTGTTCTGGTACCACAGACACGGTCAGATTGTTCTGACCCACAAACCATCCAGGTGACAGAATTCCTCTGAACACTCGTCACAACTTCCTTTAGAGTGAAGGTTTGAAATAGATTGTGAACCAGTTCAGATTAATCTTGCATGAGTCACGTTTCAGTCTGTTCACACAAGACAAACCACACCCCTCCGCTGATGGGGCACATTAAAGCACTTCCACCACTGGGGGGCAGTTTAGAAGCACTTGCGATGGACGATGGCTGGGCCGGACTCATCGTATTCCTGTTTGCTGATCCACATCTGCTGGAAGGTGGAGAGGGAGGCCAGGATGGAGCCACCGATCCAGACGGAGTACTTCCTCTCTGGAGGAGCAATGATCTAAAAGACATGAGAACATGAGCTTAGTGCAGCCACACCTCTCCCTGGTTTAAACCATTAATGCTGGTTCAATGATCAGTGGCATCATGAAGCGTTGAGTCATCTGCAGTGAAGAGTACCTTAATTTTCATGGTGGGTGGGGCCAGGCTGGTGATCTCCTTCTGCATGCGGTCAGCAATCCCAGGGTACATGGTGGTACCTCCAGACAGGACAGTGTTGGCGTACAGGTCTTTACGGATGTCCACGTCACACTTCATGATGCTGTTGTAGGTAGTTTCATGGATACCAGCAGACTCCATTCCTGAAACCAAGAGTTGGTTCGTGTTAGAGATTTTAAACTCCAGGACAGGTATGGCAATTTAACCTCGTCAGTAAAAGACTAACTGCAGAAAACCAAGTTAAGATCAAAAAGTTTAAACTGTTATTTGAAAATTGAACTTTTGTTTCTACAGCGTTTACTCAAACAGACCGATGAACGAAGGCTGGAAGAGCGCCTCGGGACAGCGGAACCTCTCGTTGCCGATTGTGATGACCTGTCCGTCAGGAAGCTCATAGCTCTTCTCCAGTGATGAAGAGGAAGCTGCCGTCTGCATCTCCTGGTCAAAGTCCAAAGCCACGTAGCACAGCTTCTCCTTGATGTCACGAACAATCTCACGCTCAGCTGCAGTTCAAGGAACAGGAAGGTCAGAGGCACATTACACGGAACAACATGTTCTGGACCAGGTCCAGTTGAGCAAGTCGTACCAGTGGTGGTGAAGCTGTAGCCCCTCTCTGTGAGGATCTTCATCAGGTAGTCTGTCAGGTCTCTGCCAGCCAGATCCAGACGCAGGATGGCGTGAGGCAGGGCGTAACCCTCGTAGATGGGCACAGTATGGCTGACACCGTCACCAGAGTCCATCACAATACCTGCAGGACAAAGTACGGCTCAGTAACGCTTTGGAGGCAAAGGTCAACTTGAGACTAAAGTCTCTGAAAGCTGAAGATGACCCACCTGTGGTACGACCAGAGGCGTACAGAGACAGGACGGCCTGGATGGCCACGTACATGGCAGGAGAGTTGAAGGTCTCGAACATGATCTGAGCAAACAGAACGTTCGTCTTTCAGTTGCTGCATCGAGTATTTGGGACTCCTGGACTAATGTGGACCAACACGTAGTCCAGTTCAACTCACCTGGGTCATCTTCTCCCTGTTGGCTTTGGGGTTCAGTGGTGCTTCAGTCAGCAGGACTGGATGTTCTTCAGGAGCAACACGGAGCTCGTTGTAGAAGGTGTGATGCCAGATCTGCATGACAGAACAAAAGTTAAGGAACAAGTTCCAGGACTGAACTTAATATAAATATAACTCCAGCTATTCAGATAACAGCATGTTGCCAGTGCACGGTTCAAGTAGTGAGATCTTAATTTGTTTAAAAATTAATTTTGGTACCCCATCCATCCTTTAACTTGTTCCACCACAGACTTCTGCAGGATGCACACCCACATCTTACAAAAGCAAACCTTTTAACACCCCGTCCCAGCCTCACCTTCTCCATGTCGTCCCAGTTGGTGACGATGCCGTGCTCGATGGGGTACTTCAGGGTCAGGATGCCTCGCTTACTCTGAGCCTCGTCTCCCACGTAGCTGTCCTTCTGTCCCATACCGACCATCACACCCTGCACAGACACCTCTGGTTAGATCTTACACTCCCTCTGAAGGTGAGGTTACACTGAAGGTTAGGGGGTACCTGGTGTCTGGGGCGTCCAACAATGGAAGGGAAGACGGCACGAGGCGCATCGTCCCCCGCAAATCCGGCCTTACACATACCGGAGCCATTGTCAACAACAAGAGCGGAGATATCGTCGTCCATTTCTGCAAGAACAGTTTGGTTTCAAGAAAAGAAAAAAAGTGAGCCTTTTCAGGAAGAACTTGTGATGCAACAACTCAGACGAGTCTCATGCCACACCCAGATTATGGACAAAACAGGTTCTTGTTATGCCAGGTCTTCAGAGCCAAGCAGCTGGGTGTGACCAACTGAAGGAGTCCAGTCACTTCTTTGTAAAAACCATTTCACACACTGGGAAACGACCTACAAAGTTACAGGAGCTTCATTTTTCCAGAGAGTTGTAAAAAAAAAAAACCGGCGTGTTTCAGAGACAGATTCCTGAGCTGAACAAGTCGTTTCAACACATGATGCCATTCCTGAACTTTAAATAAATAAAACTGTTCACATTACACACAATCTGCTCAATTACATCCTACAGCTCCCAGTTTTAATTTCAGTCTAAAAACAAAAAAAAATTAATTTTAAAAAACAGTTTACAGCCCCTCATGCACACCCTTTAAATTCACCACAAACAGGAAGTTTGAACAGTTTCAGCTCCACTGAAGTTTTAAGAAAATAATGTTGATCTGTTGACTCACAGCTGGTTCTCCTAAAGAAGGCTCAGAGTTGAAGCTGACGTAAAGCCAGGCAGCTGCGGGTCTCTTACCTGTCTCAGGTGAGTTGGAGGTGTGCCTGTCAGTGAGTGCTTCAGCCCAGCTGTGCTTCGTTACTGCAGCATCTCCAAACCAGAAGCAACGGTTTTATTCAGCTGGCGGGGCAGCAGGCCATCTCCATATAAGGTAACGTTCTCACAGCTCGCGCTCTGATTGGTCCAGGTGACCAGGATGCGCTGATGTGTCTCAGCTCGCGCTCTGATTGGCTGCAGGGAGAGTCAGTCAGGAGCGCTTCCCGACAGAAACACACCTGAAGGTTTCCAATGAGATGAATCAAAGACGTGGAATCTGAAGCTCAGTCAACAAATAAACACTGACAATCTAACAAATAACAACAAATAAACACACCTGATTAAACATGTGTAAATAAGGCAGAACATTTAGAAAATTAAAGTTTGAGTTTGTGTCTGAACAGAGTCAAAGGAGACTGAAAAATGGAGACTGTCAGGTTAACTTGCTGAAAGTAAAACGTTTTAAGATTTATTCAAACAGATGTTTTGATGTTTCACCTGAAAACACCGAAACAAGAAACATTTCATCAACGTCATGCAGAAAACTTCAGAGCAAAAGTTCAGAGGATGTGACTTCCTGTCTGCAGGTTTCTGCAGGTCTGATGTGGATCCAGGAACCTCTGCAGGACTCCTCAGGCCAAATGCTGACCCGGACCCTGCAGCTCTGCAAAGCCTGGACGAGCTCCGTCAAGCTGGAAATAAAAAGAACAACTGCTTTTGAATAAATACTGCACATAAAAAATAGTTTGTGACTTGATGAAATATAATACACTCTAGTATTTGGTACTTTTTACATGTTAGAACAAAAAAAGAAGCTTTTTCTTGTTTGATGATCTCTACGTTTTCAATCTGGATTATTGAGCGTGCATCAGGATATAATGGATTATTACGAGAGAATTTTCTGTGATGTTTGAAAATTCATAGAAATATCACAGAAAAATGTTAAATCATGTCTATAAAAAACTTGTCCAGATGACATGATTTAACTTCTTTGGTGATTTATCTACAAACCTTTATTTCATAGATCTTACTTTAAAACAACAGATCAGCTGTTTGTTGTTTTTTATGATGCATTTCCTCTCAAAAAAGGAGAAACCTTCATTTACGTCAAACATTATTCTAAAGTTTAATGAAAAACAAACTGTTTTAAATCTTGGTGTTTTCAGACTGATTTGTCATATATTTTATTGTTTTCCACAAGTTTAAATTTTGTTTATTTCCATATCGAAGCTCCAGTTTTATCTTTCTTTGTTGCAACTGCAGATTTTCTCCTTCGCCTGACAAAGTTTCCAGTTTTTCCAAACATCAGCCGAAAGTTTCACAACTCTGAGGTCCAAACGTGCAGCTTTTCTTCCTGATGGGACAAACTCAACACGTGTGCACGAAGGGGGGAGTCAGCCGTGCACTCTTTCATCCTCATGCAGCACATAAAAATATAATTTACTCACAAACAAGAGTAGAAATTTCACTGTAAAATATTGGATTTATAGTTGTTTGAAAGTTTAGTTGCTGCAAATCAATAAAATGATCTTTTAAAGAGTCAGAGTGCTAAATGAGTCCAACCTCTCAGCCACTTGTTCAAAACAAACCTTTTATTTTACTGAATAAAGGTTGCACGAGCTGCGTTCTTTACAAAGTATTGCCTCTGAGGCCTGCGAGTCTGTTTTTAACAAACGTTGAGGTATTTTATATTTTTTGTTCCATTTGAGAGATTCACAAATCTTTGGAGTTCGTTGACTCGTGTTGCCAGATCAGAAAGAAACAATCCGGTCCATAAAAACGAGCTGAAAAGCCGAGGCCCATCTCTGCGTTTGCATCAAAATACACATTTTAATTTATTAGTAACTGCGTTAACATGAACTCTGAAAATTAGCTCAAATTATAAAACTAGTCAAGCTTTGGAAAACTATATATTTAAAATCTTTATTATGATTATATTTTATGGTGTTCTGTATCTATTCTACAAATGTTATATTTTAATAAAACTTTTAAAAATACCTTTCCTGCAGCCCCACAATGTCAGAAAGTCCACCCAGTTTATACATTTCAAATACTTTATTTAACATATCAACCGAAACCATTTTAGAAAACTGTTTTTATTTTTTCAGTTTCAGCTCTGACATCTCGGCGCAGCCTGATGAGCACAATTAAAATAATACTTGTTTTTTACTATTTAAACACCCAGGTTCATTGGATCCAGAGGATATATTTCAATTAAATAATAATATAATCATGATGTACTTGATGCAGCTCCTCGTTTTATTGTTGCACAGAAGAGAAAGAACGATGTTTTAATCCTAATTCACTGACGCTGTGACATTTTATTCTGCCTAACGGTGATAAGACTCAAGCTGCTGTTTTTAATACACATTTTGTTAAAGTATTCTTTTATTTGTTTTAAATACTTTTTTCTGATTCCTCGTTAATTTCTCTATCAGTCTTTTTGCAAACCTTTTTTTTTTGTTTTGCACATTTGAAAAAGGATAAAACTTTATCCACCTTCAAACGTCCGAGAAAGAAAAATCTAATAAAATAATAAAATCTAATAAAATAATAAAATCTAATAAAATAATAAAATCTAATAAAATAATAAAATCTAATAAAATAATAAAATCTAATAAAATAAGACCGTTTTGTTTTGGATCATTAGTTTTAATAAGAGATTTGATGCAGCCTCATCAGCTCGTCACTGGTTTTAAAACCTGCTGCAGCGTTTGATAAAATCTGATCCATCCATCCATCCATCCATCCATCCGTCCATCCATCCATCCATCCATCCATCCATCCATCCATCCATCCATCC